GAGATGTAAATGTGACATTGTGTTCATTTCCACATGTGCCTTCCTTGAAACAGAGAGCAGCCAAACTTCAGCCAGAGTCCTTTGGGACATCCATACAAATTGAAGCAATAGACTGAAGATTCGCATGGCCAGTGCCTCTGGATGACACGCACCCAAGCAAAAAACAAACAAAAAAAACACACCCTTCCACCAAAGGGGAAGAAACACAACCCCAGTACGCCCTCAGGCTCCTTCAAGCATCATTCAGGCGGAGGGGGGGGGAGGCAAAAAAAATAATCCGCGATTCGGCATAGAGGGCCCTTGAACAAAACCTTTTTTTTCCCCGAAGCAGTACATGACTCTGCAATCCATACAGCACAAGACTCCCTCGAGAGGACAAAAAGAATAAACAAACCGTGACGGTGGTGACGGTGACGGTAGAGGACCCACCGCACCGCAGCACACAAAATGGCTTTAAAAAAAATGTAAAGACAAGACAGATGACGAAAAAGAGCAACGATACAACATCATTTTGGTCCACTGCTCAAAACCCTGGGAGCATAATTTCCAATACATCGCTCGCCCACGCCTCTCCCGTCGACTCCGAGTCCCGGGCCTTGCGGAGCGGTATTAGCATCCTCCAGGTACCTCCTCCTTAAACCACCAGAGTACTCCGCCCATACATCCCCCGCGGAAAGAAAAAAAAAAACGCGTAGAAGCATTTCTACTTCAACGAATTTGGGCGGTCCCTTAGTGGTGCTCCATCCATTATCATCGTCGCCGCTCGTAATGCGCCGCGACTTCCGGACGTACTGCTCTCTTCATTCCCCCATGTATGCACGATCATCAATCAACACTCTCTCTCGCCAAGCAAAATCGCAATCAGCTCAACTACCCCGAAGAAATTGTGCGGGCGGATGCCCTGGCTCGCTGCAGTCTCTACGTCGTCCGGCACTCCTTTTTACACCATCCTTTTTTTTTTATGATCAGCATCATGTTTGTCGCCGTGAGACCGAGTACCGATGAAAAGTTGGAGATGCAGGCGGTCTGCCAAGAGAGCACCCTTGTGTGCCATGCTGTGGATATCGGACCTCGCTCCACTATTCAACATCCTACATGCATTTGTGTGCCTTTCTAGACCAGGTGCATTTTGGAGGGGTCCAACATTTTGAACACATCACGGCAATCACAGTTCCAAATACATGTGGAGTGTTGTGTAGTGGAGCGAGGGCCATCGTACCTCAATTCTCCCAAATTTCAAAGTCTAAAAAAAAAAAAAAAAAAAGACAAGCCATCATAGCAGTGGAGCCCATGCTGCCGCTCTCCTCTTCTCCACGAGTCTCCAGAGGCAAAGTTTTATCTGAACATTCCTGGCTGCCGCCCCAATTCTACCCACAAACCTTTCTGCGCAGCATTGCTCCGCAACTCAACATTCATCAAGTACCTAGACTAGCCCTGGACCACATACATCAAGTACTCGTTGCTCCGCAAACCTTTCTGAGCATCATTGCATCCCTACGCTATACGTAGGGCCTCGCTCCACTAGTCAACATTCATCGAGTACCTAGACTGGCCCTGGGACCACATACATTTGGACCGATGATCAAACGACGTTTTAAATGCATCGCAGGGCCACGACTAGCTCCAGATAAATTTAGAATGCCATGCAGTGGAGCGAGGGCCCGTAGTCTGCCACGGGACATCATCTGTTTGCTGCTGTGAATTGTAAAGTAGAAGCTTTCCCCGTCGAAACACACGCTAAGCAAAATCCAAACGGTGTGCCCAAAAGCGTGCATGCACATCAAGATCAATCACCCCAGGCTGCGGGCAACACCATGTCTGCCAGCAAGGTTGTGTACACCATGCCCTCTTGATTCCACCCTCCCATCACAACCAACCCGATTTCGAATAACCCATAAACCATAACCCACATTCCATGCCTCCCGAGGCATCCGGAACTCACTCCGCTCCTTGCTGATGGGCATCAATCTAACACTAACAACTCACGCCTCCGGGCGTCCCCTCGCTCCCATAACC